TTTACTGAGGGTTTGTCCCCTACCGGGGCCAACCCCGTAATGACTAATTAATTATATATAGGACAAAAATATACTAAAATCCATCAATGCACCTCTCTGTAGAAAGTGACGCGAGGAAACAGATCAAAAGAATTCTAACGGCGCTGTAAGAGGATATTATTCACAATAAACAATTTAAATCAAAAATCATCACCAGAACACATATTTGTAACATTAACATTTTAAACACACCTATCAAATTTATTCACCTTGAAATCTTAAAGTAGCATACATTAAAATAGAGGACGAACATACACGAAAATCTATTATTAAATTTATTCTTAAGGTCTAACAGAGAAGGTTACATTTTAAACATGATTTCTTTAAAAATCTATGAATATAACTTATTTGGCATATTTTTTTCGTGTAAAAAAACTATTGATGTAAAACCGCTATGACGTCAATAATGGACAACAAAAAAACTAAATAATATTGGACCGATTTAAAATTCTTTTAAAAAGTGATAAATAATACTTACCTCAAAAACTACTCATTCAATTAATACCATTTGCTTGAATAAGTTGCTTTTGAGATAAGTATTATCATCACTTTTCTTAAAGTTCGAAATCCGTTTATTTATTTTTTTAGTTTTTTACTATCCATTATTAGCTCAGTACATTTGTGGAACTTTATTAACATAGCTTCCATCAAAAACCGATCACATTATTTTCTTAAGTCCGAAAATTGGAACGGCAAGCTAAAATTTTGGTTTCTTATATTGAACTTAAGGAGTTATATGTAACTACAAAGAATAATCTGCAGTCAATTATGAACTTTAATTAAAACAGATTAACGCTTAATATTTGTATTTTCTGTAACACACAAGGCGATTATTTTAATATTTAATAGGATATCAGGGGACGTGAGTATGGTCAACTTTCCCAATTTTTTAAACATCAAACGGTTTATCTTAAAATTATAAATGATTCTTGGAACGACGATAGCAAAACTTTGTTTCTAATTCATTTATTTACATTTCAGGACTGCCTTTAACTTAGCAATTTACATTATGTGCACAAAATTTCAATTCATTTCGGTAGTTTTTAAGAAAAATCAGGTTTATGTAACAAACCGACAGACAGACAGACAACCCTACAAGTGTGCAGTTTTCTTCTTTTAAAGTTCAGAACCGTATAAAACAACATCGCTGCTATAAGTATCCTCCTCTATTTTTGTCGAACTTTAAAGATTTGTTGTTAAAAGATTTCTCTATGCTAGGAATGCTAGAATCTAATAAACAGAACATGCAATTATGTTCAAGTGTATTCTTCAACCTTGACGTGTAACAAATAGGTACCTATTAGAAATATATAGTGACTTTTTGCTGATACTAGTTATTATGTAAACAATTACTGTTCGTTACATAACAACAATAGCTTCCTTCTATGCTTACGATTGGAGATATTCTATTGTGTTTCTGTTGACACATATAATATTATTCAAATATAAAAATCAAGAGGAATAGCACAATGATTAACGCGTTGTATCTGCAATGCGAAAGTTAAACAACTTTAGCATAGGCCTGTCATAGGATGTGTGACCAGAAAATGTAGTATCCCGAGTTCATCTTTACTTCGGAAGGCACGTTAAAAGATAAACTTTCTTATTTTTGCATCTTATCTCAATAATGTTACCGCGTACAAACAGGAATTTGACAATTTGCCTTCATTTATTATTTAAAAAAATCTTTTTATCTATACTTTTTCGATTTATTTTGGGTACGTGTTTTTCGATTAATGCTCGATAAATTTTCAGTACAGCTAACTTACGTTTAGAAATATGAGTAATATAAATTAAATGGTAGTACTGAAATGACTGTTCTGGAATTTATTTATGAAAAGAAAAAAAATGACCTTGAAGTTTTATTATTAAAAACAAATTAAAGGATTATTCTTAATATCCTAAAAATCTAGTCCCATTTCAGATAGATTGGTACAAAGTTGATTTTTAAGCATTTTTCATTAAGAATCCTAAAAATGTAACAGGAAAAAAATTGCTTGATTTTTTTTCATTATCTACTTCGTGTTCTAATAGCACGATTTTATAATTTAAATTGATAAGGTAATAAATGTTTAAATCGATTAGGTCGTTATAACAACATTCCTCACGGCTTTCTGGAATACATGTTATATATGATATTTTATATAATATTGTTTATGGTATTATTTTATTTTTCGATTAATGATATTTAAAAAACATATTACGGTATTATATTATATGTTATTTATATTAATAAAATTCACAATGCTATACTATTTATCAGTATAGCATTTCGAATGCAAAATCTTTAAAGAAAAATGCTTAATAAATCCACCAGCCAAGTTACCCCCTGATGAGACTTTTCATTAAAAATATTTATTGAATTATATGGTATAGCTTCGAGAATGCAACACTGATACAATACAATAATAAGACAAATTTTCATCTTAGTCAAAAGTAATTGGCAAAATATATTTGTTTCGGCTGCTTGGGTGATTGCCTGAACATTGATGAAAATACACTCACTAGTAGCGAAAAGTAACAAGTGCTTGAATATTTCGTCAGTTCTGATGGGTCTCGGGTAGCTCAGTGGTTAGAGCAGTCGGATTGCGAAAGATTGTGATTTTGAGTCCCGTCTCAGGATATCTAGGCTTGTGTATTGAATATTATCAGTTTCTGTATTATTATTTAGCCGTAAAATTAAGCACAGCTTTAAGTTTTACACAATATTACACACATCCATGTGTGTTTTGATATTGTTTGTGTAATATTGGGTCAAAATTAAAGCTCTGCTTAATATTACGGCAAAACAGTAATACAGAAACTGATAATATTCAATACACAAACTTAGATACCTCGAGATACACATATGGATGTGTGTAATATTGTGTTAACGTTAGTTCGCTTTCGCAGATGCTAGAGACATAATTCAATACAATCAATAAAGCAATCCAGAAAAATCACTAACTTCAAATGATTTGAACAAAGACTACTACTGAAGCTCAAATAAGCTGTAATCGAATACGAGAGAACACCATCACATGTCTGATAGCCGTTTTCTGGATTGAGAAAGTACAAAATTATTCTGATTATAATCAATAACTAAGGATTTTTAGGTTTCACTAGGCAAATAGTCTAGTTTTATCAAACTGCTATCAACTGATTTGAGATGTGCTTAACTTAAAATTCTCAATTCAGAAACCGGGTTTAAGGCTGATTAGACAAAACATATTTTTTTTATTATTATTGGAACAATTGATAAATGTCACTGTGCAAAAGTTGGGATTAAGATTTTACATTTACGGTTTGCAAATTATTAATCATAAATTACTATTACACTATTCTGCCTTATTGTCTGGCCTGATGCAGGTTGCCAAAGTAATTAAAAAAAAACACGCAAACTTATTCTTTCGACATTTTTTCTTGGAATTTAGTGAAATTCACTAATACCATGACTATTACCATGACCTTAAGGATATCGTCATTTGTCGTCAGTTCAATGAATAAAATATTAAAACAGTATACCTACTATACGATAAACTACAGTACAGATAGACTGCAATACAAAATTATAATCATTAAGAGCTATTTACACGGTACAAGTTTTGTTATGAAAATGGCAACAACTGACTATAATAATTAAGTCAAAAATTTTCCACATAAAATATGACGAAAAAGTTAAGTAGGGGAGACCTAGGTGAGTTGTGACAGAGGTGAGTTGTGACAAGGAGGATTTCTCTCTACCTATTATAGTAAGCGAGATGGCATTAACGCTTGTTTGCCGTTCTCGACACGCGCTACACGACTCAGTACCTGTTGACGGTGCATATGGCACAGTTGCGTAAATATATCGTCAGTGTACAAAAATTTGCGAAAAGTAAATTTTTCTTCAAAATATTATTTAAATATATATCATATCTTAGTATATGTGCATTGATGTTGACATAACATGTTATTGATTATATTAGTTGACAATAACTAACCTACTAATATTGTATGCCTTTTTGGCAGTTCACGGTGTAACTATTCAGTCCTTGCATCCAATATCTTTATATAACCTGCGATCAACAATAAAGATTGATTTGATTTGACTTGATTAATCATCTTTTAATACCTACCAACTAAAACAACATAGTATTAATATTCTCATAACAAGTAATTATAATATTTTCATTAACTAAATATGGTATCGCTTTGAGATCAATCATATTATACTTTAATTAATTTTAGTGATGGTTTTGAAAACAGAAGGAATGGCGCTAAACTAATTCATATGAGTCATAACTGTGGAATGTTTCTTAAGCGAGATAGAGCCCCTTATGTAAAAATTGTCACAACTCTCCTAGGTCTCCCCTAAATCAAAACTGATTGACTAACTCAAATTATTGCACGGAACGAGCTCAAATTTGGCACATTAATTGCGACCATAACGCTAAGGTTGTCTAAAAAAGATTTTGATGCTTTGAGCTAAAAAGAGCTTAAAAACTGGTGTTACAAAAAGCCTTTACCGTGAAAGTAGCGCTCAATGAATAAAATTTTAGGTTCCAATTTATCATTTAAGTAGTAGCAGATTTCCTGCGACTTCACTCACTTAATAGCCTATGTAGCTATATAGATGATGTAGTTTCCCGTATCTTGAAAATCAGTCCAGTAGTTTAGGAACCCATTCAATGCAAATAAAAATCAAATCTTTCGTCCTTATAATATAAGTATAGATACGAGTGTTCCCTCTACTCCGGCATAACTATTTTTCATCTAAAAACTACGCGGATTGGGTGTTAGCGGTTTTATGTACCTTTCAAAACACAAACACGAATAATATAATTTAAAATCAACATTTGCTTATCCTGTGACGTTTGTGTGACATGCTTAACCTCTGAAAATGCACACCGAACACGTTAACCATTGACCATCAAGCTCCTCAAAATAGGGAATATACAATATACATCCTATGTTTATTTAAAGTTCCAGAGTGCACTTACCAAATTCCAATTGGTACCAAAAGCAGGTCCATAATGTCCCAATAATCGGACAACCTCATTATCATGTGTCATCGCATTATAACCGATAACTAAACCATAAGAAACCAGCAGTACATAATAGCAACAAACCGCGCTATGGAACGACGTAACAAAAATCCGCAAGCACTTATTTTTGGGCAAGTCTTCCACTCCACTATCAACTTTATTAACACCTGCTTCGATATCCATTTTCGAATTTCAATTTATAAACAGAAAAAAAAAAATATAATTCAATTACCAAAAAAAATGTGTCTCATGATTTTAATATATTTTTTAAATTGAAACATTAAATATTAATACGCGATTTTCGTTTTCAATTTCACTAATTTAAGAATAGAAACTTATTTTAAATGTAAAACTTATTTTTTTTAAAGCAACACATTATTTTACGCCATTTATAAAATGGGAACGCACTATTTTCATACACTGTTTTTGTTTACAATTTTACTTGTAAAACAAAACAAGAGTCGACCGTCATGTCGGGTCGTATATATAGAATAATGGACAGCTGTAAAATCACGACCATGAATCTAATTGGTACTTGTTATTTCAACCGGTTTCATAGTAGATTAGTGCGGCCATATTTCTTTAATTGTGTTAAATCATTAAGGGTGAACTTCATATAATTGATGACGTCAATAAATTAGTGTAGGTTGCGTGAATACCACCCAATTCATTGGACGTTTGGGCGTTATGATTTTATTAGTTTCTGATTGCAATTTATCCTAGTTAACACTTTCACTTAATCCTTTGGTGTTGGGGTTGGTTAATGATTATTATGTTCAGAATATCTCCGTTTCACTCTTATTATCCACGAACCAGAAAATATCAGATACCTACCATAAAACTTAATATCGAAAAAGACTAAGGATGGCTTACAGTCAATTTTCGGCCAAATGATCTCAAGTCAAAGGCAAATTGCTTGTATCCATAATGACTTTCAGGGCGCAAGGGTATGGCAAAATGTAGACGACTCTTTAATTACAAATACATTAATTATTGTAATAGGGATGATGACTATTTTTTGTTTGTTTGTCCGTCAGGTAGAGTGTTAAAAAATATTAAATACGTATTTTTTTATTTTTTTCGTAATCATAAAATTACGGCGTTACATTGAGTTGAAATTTCGCATGACGTCACGTTAGAGTACGTTTTCTACTCAACTGTGACGTAGCGAGCCCCCACTCCTCAACTTTAATGCATGTTATCTAAGCTATTTCTTGTTAATTTGAAGTAAAAAAAAAAAACGTATATAATGTTTTTCTATTATCTGACTGACGGACTAAATAGAATTGCATTTTTTTACCCAGTTATCATACCTATTGTACAAGACCACATTGTATTTGTAAAATAAAAAAGTAATAACAATTAAAGATACAAAATAACGTAATTGCTGACGAGAAATCATTAAATAAAATTGTGATTATAACGGGTATCAACAATAGTATTTCATTAATATCAGTAAAAATATTCATATTTTTTAGTACTCGTAATTTTGCAAATCTTTAAACCGAGGGACAGGTATTAAGTGTTGTTTATTTTTTAGTATTTAAACGTAGACTTTGTAGGCATTAAAAACCTGTTGTGGTAACATTCAAAGTTCGAAACATAAAACGTATAACGTAGGTACGTAAAACCTATTTCAATGTTTGAGGTAATTTAAAAAAGGATTATTTTTTTGTTTTCTTTCCAAAATTTATTTTTCGGCTACAAATAAAAAATTAATAAGCATTGTCTACATTGGAGGAAATTCAATTGGTTTGAATGTTTTTCTAGAAGTCCAATATCTTTGAAGTTAAAAACATGAAACAACTTATCACTAATATTCATTATGATGTTGAGATTCGCTAAGAGATTATTCTGAAAATTTCAACCTTTTAAGCAAACAAATGACTTCAAATACTGCCAAAACTGTAACCAATTGCTCTTGCAATAATTGACAATAGCGTTACATTAATAGAGTGTAACGACTTTTAAATATTTTGGCAAATTTAAGTAATTTTACTTTAACATTAGTGTCTTGTTTAGATAACGATTGCAATTATAATTAAAAGATACCTATTTTAAAGTTTTCCGTGTTCCGGAATTTGTTTCAATTTATTGGTTTCATTTAAAAAAAAATGGATAATGTTTATTTTGTCATACATTCAATCTGCTCAATAATTTATTATAAAGGAAAATAAACAATCATTGACAATAATATAACGTCATTATAGCGGTCACTTTGATCGTTTTGACCAGGACTTTATAACTTTTGAGTTATGCGATCTGACAGCGCCAGGTCTTGTAAAGATATTTAGCATTGAAAATAAATAAACAAATATTAACAAGTTCAGATACATTGATCAGATTACAATATGAGTAGTTAAAGCAGCCGTATTATGGAGTATCTGAGACAACGAAGGTACCACAACACCCAGAACTGAGAAATTATAGAAAAATCCTTTTTCTACATTGACCTGACCGGGAATCGAAACCGGGACCTCAGTAATGGTGACGCTTTAAAACCGGCGTGCGAACCACTCGGCTACGGTCGTCGTCGTCTATTAAATAATTATAAATAAAGTATATAAGATATAAGAGAGAAAAATGAAGCCTGAACATCCTTGGTCTTGGTTATAGGATCATTCGCGTATCAATCTGTCATAACTTACTTATTTATCAAAGTTATAATAAGTTAAATTAAAAACGTGTATTACTTGAACGATTAATATCATAATGACTGCTTATGATTTTTTCGTACTCATATTACAGGATAACCATTGTTAGAATAGAATAGAGAAATGTTTTTTTTTTTGTACCAAATTACAAGTTATATTAGTGCTGAACAAAATTTAAAATTAGGTACTAAAAGGGCCTCCGCTCAGCAATACGCATCAGCGGACGCGTTAATAAAGTAGAATAAAATAAGGATGAACGTATAGCACCACATACAATTAAATAAACATTACGATATTATAATTTAATTAATTCCTATAAAAAAGTAACTTATTAAATAAAAAAAGGTTAATTCACATACACAGCATCAACGTTAGTCGTAACTACTATGAGTTATGAGCGTTCAGCTCATTGAATTATCTATTAACTTGATCTTAAATAATTATTTTTACTTGTTCTTATATTAATAGCATCATTTTATAATTACCCTCACTAAATTGATAAGGAATCATGTTCCAATCGATTTCTATAGTTACGCTAACATTAATAGTATAGCCCTACAACTTCTCCGTTTAATTAAATCGTACCAAATGAGTTATTAGTTCTAGTCTGCCTTATATTCATTCACTATTGACCAATTAGGAACAGTTCTATCTAATAGTACTATTTTAAGAACTATATGTTATATTCACTTTCACGTTCATTGAACAAAATTTACTAGGAATAAACGAGTTTTGTTTATATTCTGCCTAGCCTATTATTACAGGCAGATTACAACTAATAGAACTATTAGACCGAACTAGTTCACTAAACGAGATGTACTAGTACGGAGCGCTCTTTTAGATAACCGAGCATGCGAAAGACTAGTCGGGTCCATAAATATTTTAAGCGGTTTCATTGAAACCTACAAAAATTATTGACAAATAGATGGTTGAGGGTAGTTGTGGATTTATTAAATTAGTTTATATGAAAGTTGACAAACAGAATCATAGTGAGTTTTAGCTTTTAGATAGTGACATCTGCTGTTGCAAATATGAAAGCTAAATAAAATAAAAAAGTAGACGTCAAGAGACTGCAGATGCAGCCGAGACGAACGCTCCGAAGTACAGAGGAGAAGTTAGGACCCGTTAATATGATAGGCCTTTGCGAAAGTTGCTTACCTTCCGCATCGCAGACCGAACGTACTAACCAGTGCGCTATCGAGTAGTATTCTTAGTTCCATTTATATCATTATTATATAGCGTAAATAAAGCAATATTCATTAGTCAAAATTCTATATAATTTCACATAGCTTAAAATTTTATTCAGCATGTTAAAAGTAATTTAAAAAATCTTCCGTACAAGATATTGCCCAGGATCTGATTAATAAAATTATAATTTAAACTTTATAATTTTTCGGTAAATAAAGGACATTTTGAACTTGGAAATTGATACTGATATTAATTGACCTGTCACATCACATGCTTTTTTTAAAGGTCTCATCCATTTTTGAATTTTTGTTTAAAATAGAATAGTAACTAAGCATCTTTTCAACTGGAGGCCAGGGATATAGTTAATTTGTAAATAATATTTTGTAGCAACTGTCACGAGTCGAGATGTTTTTAAAACTAGTTTAAAAAATAAAAAGAAATGCATTAAAATCGAAGCTTTTTATAGTTTGACTCGTAATTGAGGAATAAATGTAAATGTTATTTAATTATTATAAATGTCCTCTTTTTTATGATGAAAGAAGGACGATACAATATTTTTCCGTTGTTAATGAAACGAAACGTAACTAACCATTATTGCTGGGTCCGAATTGCATTGGGGAAGTTATCATTACACTTTTTGAAAATAATTATATTATAAGCCATGTAATTTTAATCCTGGCTTAATTTAAAACACTTCATTATACGATATGGTCAAACTTAGAAATAAGCTACATTTTGAGATATTTCACATCTTTAGACACATTAGTATACTTTTAGGTCAAACTTGGACATGATTCTTTAGGAAACAACGTTCCGTTGTTCCGTTTTATCTGATAAAAGTAATGTTTTCTCAACTACCGCTTTAAACGGTAAAATTTCCTAAACGTATAGGTAGGTATATTTAAGTCCGCGTGCAAAATAACCTATGTTTCTCCTTATTACATAAGCTATTTGCCAGTGAAATCCCCTTTGGAAATCCCTTCAAAATCGGTCGAGTTTGGGTTTCGGAGATTAGCCGGAACAAACAGAGAGACGGTTAAAAAAGTTAAAAGATTATATTTTGGTATATGTACCGTGTAAATATGTTTATGCATTGGGTAAAAAGTAATTAATTTAATGTTATAGACAGATACTCCACTTTATTTATTTGTTTAGATTTATTCAGTCTTTGATGATTAATAAGACGATCGATACGTATCGAAATTTCCACAATCAGCATAAAATGAGATAAACGCTCTCAAACTTACAAACATATAAAATTTTCATTCATGCTGTTTTACTGTGTTACAGTAGTGCCATTCAGGTAATCATTTTAAACATTGTCTGTACTTATTTTGGAGATAGAGGATTAAACGTTTCAAAAACAAAGGTGGTTGTAAGTTTTTAATGTATTTTCACCGATAACTCCGCCAATTGCTGCCCAATTTTCAAAATTATTTTCTTATCCGACAGCTTATGGACCGAGTTTAAATTTTATCAAAATCGAATCGGTAGTTTTCATTTTAAATCAAACCAAAATATGCTTTTCACTAGATATCACCTAAATACTGAGATCATATGTTTGTTTCAGCATAAAAAACAAAAGATTGCGTATTTTGAATTCTTTCAAAATCCAAA